CCCCAACAACTTGCTTCCCCTATTATTATCATCTCATATATTTGTCCTAATTAATGAACCATACACAAAGTCAATTTTTTTTATCTAAACTCCTTCTATCCCTCTGGATGATAAGCCTTTATCAATTTATAAAATTTGAACTATTTGTTTCTTATTGTTCACAGGGTTGTATGTATTTGGTAGATTTAATTGATGGAAATATAACATGAGAAGCCAAACCAATCAGATCGATTGATTACATGGTTCTAACCACACAGAAATCATAGACAGGAACCTATAACAAAATTATCAAAACATGAATTATAATGTCATAATACTTCTTATACTGTAATTATCAGACTGTAATTGCTAAATGGAAAGACAATGAATTATCAGTGCACACAGAGAGAAATGAGATACAAGCAGTGAAATTACTCTACAGCTGTCACTCCCTGGACCTCAGACACTGAGTTAATTATTCCCATCAGTCCATGACCATCACTGTGCTGACTCTAGGCAAGGCACTCCAGGACTTTATCATTTTTATGTCCCCATTGTCCAAAGCCTGTGTCTCCACCAACCCTGCCCAGCTGCCCACACACATGCAAAGCTAAAGTATAGCCTTTCAGGGTGGGTGTTTGACACAGAAATTAAGATGCTGCTTGGGACACCCACATCCCATATTAGAGTGCCTGGGTTCAAGTCCCAACTCTGCTCTCTAGTTTCTTGCATTCTGGAAGGCAGCACGTAATGACTCAAATACTTGGGTCCCTACCACTCAAGCAGGAGACCTGGGCTGGGTTCCTGGCTCCTGGTGTTGGCCAATCTCAGCTCTGTTGCAGGTATTTGGGAAATGAACCAGTGGATGGAAAATCTCATTCACTCTCCCTTTCAAATCAATACAATTTTTAAGAGAAATAAACCATAGAATATAGCCTTTAATTTATACATGCTACATAAAGTGTGTATTTTTGTGTATGTTTTTAAAATTATTGTCATTGTGCATTCTATTTCATTTCATTCTATTTCTCATGTTTTGGACTCAGTACTTCAATATTAATATATATTCTTGTTTCCTGGGTACATGTATTCTGTTGCATTGTCTTCCCTGAGGTTTATCCAGATCCAGAGCATACTGCTTATCCAATACCTGAGTGATCAACACTTAGATTGCCCCCCAAATACCTGTAAAAAGCATTAACATTTCCAAATATGCCTCTTTAAGGAGCTGCTTGAGATTATCTTTGTTATATATATATATATATATATATAGAGAGAGAGAGAGAGAGAGCATATACATATGTCTGTGTGTATGTATGCAGAGTGAAATTACTAATCTACAAATTATACTGTGTGCATTCTGCTTAAGTTCTACCAAATTGCTATCTGGAATGTCTACATTAGTCTACATCACGGTTTCAGAAGATTACAGTCCATGATTCAAGTCTGTCCAGCCACCTGTTTTTTGAAAATAAAATACTGGAACACAATTACACCTGTTCATCTATGTGTTGTCTATGGCTGCTTTTATGCTACAACTGCAGGATTTAGTGGCTAAAACCGACACCAGCTGGCCCATACTACCAAAGATATTAAATCTCTGATCCTTTACAGAAAGTAGTCTATAGAGTATTGAGTTTGTGGAATTAAGGCTTCCTTTGTTGTCTAGTAAAATAAAAGGTAAATTTTTAAAAAATATTACTTGTGGGGCCGGCGCTATAGCACAGCAGGTTAAAGCCCTGGCCTGAAGCACAGGCTTCCCATATGGGCACCGGTTCAAGACCCAGCTGCTCCACTTCTGATCCAGCTCTCTGCTATGGTCTGGGAAAGCAGTAGAAGATGGCCCAAGTCTTCGGGCCCCTGTACCCACGGTGGGAGACCCAGAGGAAGCTCCTGGCTTCGGATTGGCACAGTTCCGGCCATTGTGGCCAGTTGGGGAGTGAACCAGCAGATGGAAGACCTCTCTCTGCCTCTCCTCTCTCTGTGTAACTCTGACTTTCAAATAAATAATTTAAAAAAATTACTTGTGAACTAAAAAAAAAAATGTATTCTCTGTTTAGTATTCAATAGATATTTAGTAGCTATATAAGTGATATTATCCAGATTTTCTATGTCTCCATTTTTTTTTTAATGCTGACTGATTTATCTTTATTTCTTTAAAAGGCAGTGAAAGAGATAGGGAGAGAGAGAGATCTTCCATCTGCTGGTTCACTCCTCAGTTGCCTACTATAGCCAGGGCTGAGCCAGACCAAAGCCAGAAGCCAGGAACTCCGTCCAGGTTCCACATGGGTAGCAGGAACTTGGGCACTTGGGCCATCATCTGCTGCCTACCAGGCACATTAGTAGGAAACCAGATCAGCAACAAAAGCAGGATTTGATCCCAAACAATCCATGTGGGTGTCCCAAGCAATGGCTTAACCCACTGTGCCTCAATGCCTATCCCATCTCTGCTTATTTTTTGCTTGCTGATCTGTCAACTTGTAGTTGAAATCTCTGACCATGTCAGAGTTCTGACAATTGATATTTTATATATTTTGAGGCTACATTTTGCCCCGAGTATGTTCGTGATGACTTTATAGGTCCTTGTTCTGTGGTCCCATTTCCTAGCCTGTAACAATCCTCTTTGTCTCTTACTATTTTTGTCTAGGAATCTAGTTCATCAGATAGAAATATTTCTCCCTTTCTTTTTTTCTTCATATCTTTTTCTATCCTTTAATTTTCAAACTATCATTTTACCATGTGTTCATCTTATCTCATGTAGATAGCATATCGTTGGGTCTTGTGTGGTTTCCCCACCTCCTCTGTCCTATTTGAGTTTCTATATTGCAATTGATGACATTTACTCATTAATATTTACTGATATTTCTGGGGCTATGTAGTACTATATTTTTGTTTCTTCTCTTTTTTTTTTTTACTTTCTTGTTTTCCACTGGATAAATGGCATTTACAAATTTTTTAAAATATTTGAGAGGCAGAGAGACAGACACACAGATGTATATGCTGGTTCACTACCTAAATGCCCACAATAGCTTGAGCTGGGACAGACCTAAGCCAGGAGTCAGGAATTCAATCCAAGGCTGCTAGGTCAAATGCTCCCCACACTGGGTAAAATTTAATGCTTTTTCTTTTTCTTATATGATTTCCCTAAGTCCATATACTTACTACTATTAATTTAGTTAATTTATCAATATATTACGCTCTGAATAAAGTTTAATGTCCATCATGATCATTTTGATATTGTCTAAAAAGTTCCATTCCAGATTGTCATAGATATATTTTTCTCTTTTTTGCCTTTGTTCATTAAGGTTTTTTTTTTTTTCCTTTTTAAGATTGATTTATTTATTTGAAAGGCAGAGTGACAGGGAAAGACAGAGAAAGATTTCCATCCACTGGTCATCTTCCAAACTGGGCCAGGCCGAAGCTAGGAGCCTGGAACTCCTTCCAGTTCTCCCATGTGGGTTGCAGAAACCCAAACACTTGGGCCCTTCTGCTGCTTTCCCAGGTTCTTTAGCAGGGAGCTGGATCAGCGGCAGAGCAGCTGAGACGCAAATCAGCACTCTGATATGGAATGCTGGTGTCACAAGCAGCGAATAAACCCACTGATTAAGTTTTTTAATGTTTGTTTATTTCAAAGGCTGATAAAGAGTGAGCTTCCATCTGCTGGTTCATTTCCCGTGTCCACTACAGCCAAGACAGGCAGACTGAAGCCAGGGGCATGCAGCTCCAGTCAGGTCTCCCATGTGAGTAGAAGGGACCCAAGCACTTGGGTCATCACATGCTGCCTTCCAGGATTCACTTAGCAGGAAGTTGGATCAGAAATGATGGGGAGACTTAAATCCAGGCACTTCAGTTTGGGATATGGCATCCAAAAGAGTGGTATAAACTTCTGTGCCCATCCAATATTACTAATTTTTTAAATAACTATAACATTTTCTAAATTATTTAACTGTCCTTACATTTTACATTTAGCATTCTCTTAGTTTCTTCTTTTTTCTAGATTTATTGTATTTATTTAAAAGGCAGAGCTTTACAAAGAGAGAGGGGGAGAGAGAGAGAGAGAGATCTTATATCTATTGGTTTACCCCCAAAATTACTGCAATGGTCCAGCTGGGCCAGGCCAAAGCCAGGAGCCAGGAGCTTCATCTGGGTCTCCCATGTGGGTGCAGGGACCCAAGCACTTGGGCCCTCTTCCACTGCTTTCCCAGGCACATTGGCAAGGAGCTGCATCAGCAATGGAGCAGCCAAGACTTGAACCAGAGCCCATATGGGATGCCAGCATTGCAGGCAGTGGCTTTATTCATTACGCCACAGCACTGGCCCCAGTTCCTCCTCTTACTTGAACACTTCCTCCACAGCATTTCCAAAATGATTTTCATGTGATAAATTTCTAAGCCCTTTGGTGCCTAAGAATATCTTTATTATAGTCCCACATTAAGATTGTAATTTAGATATGGAAAATCTTGAACTTGAAGTGATCTTTCTTTAAAACTCGAAAATTATCAGTTCACTAACTTCCTAGGTCCAATGTCTTGTTCCTCTGTAGATGATCCACTCTGGATACTATTTGTTTCTGATGTTTTGGGGAAGATTTAGAATTTTCTCTTTATTGTTCCTAAATTTCACTATAGGCTGGCGCCGCAGCTCACTAGACTAATCCTTCACGTGCAGCACCGGTACCCTGGGGTTCTAGTCCTGGTTGGGGCACCAGATTCTGTCTGGTTGCCCCTCTTCCAGTCCAGCTCTCTGCTGTGGCCCAGGAAGGCAGTGGGGGATGGCCCAAGTGCTTGGGCCCTGCACCCACATGGGAGACCAGGAGAAGGCACCTGGCTCCTGGCTTAAGATCGGTGCAGCGCACTGGCTGTAGCAGCCATTTGGGGGGTGAACCAACAGAAGGAAGACCTTTCTGTCTCTCTCTCTCTCTAACTCTGCCTGTCAAAAAAAATTTTTTTTTCACTATAAATTTTTTTTTTTTTTTTTTTTTTTTTTTTTTTTTTTTGTCCATAATTGAGATTTTATTGGTGTTGAGAATCAGCACACACATTTTAATTTGTACACAATTCTTAACATACGTACCAAAAATCTAAAAAGCCATGAATTGTCATTCTTTTTTTTAAAAGTTATTCCAGTGACTTTCCAGCTTCAAATTTGGAGGCAACTCTTCCTTAAGAGGCTATCAAGTACAAGTATCTTCAGATGCTGTTACATAAATCCCACCCATTCACAATATAATAGCATATACACGACACTCAAATTTTCAATCTTTCACGGCACATTAACAAAATCATTAGGAAAACTGGACTACCACAACCGAAGATGTTACAGAGTGCACATGGTTCTGACAGAACAAGGAGTGGTTTTCTGTAGAAAACAATTCTACAAAACACGGGAGAAGTAACTGAAAATATTCAAGACAGATTAAATGCACAATTGAGACTCCAAATTGCCATTTAGTATGCGCTGTACTGTAGGATATAAAAACCACCCCCACCTATGGAATGTTAAGCTGACACCCAAGACAGTCAAAGCCTCCCAGAATTCAATATGCCACTATTTTCTGGTTGTACCAAAAAATAAACAACCAGCAAATGATTTCACCTCTTAAAAAAAATCATTTACACTTAAAAAATGGGATGAGGTGGGCTTCCCTCCTTCTTAAAAATGTTTCTAGAGCTACTAAAAAACTTGCATTTACAAAATAGTTGATAAAAATATTCCTCTGGATTGTACAAGAAGGGAGACAGGGAGCACTGCTAACACATGGTGTATGGTATTAATCGGACTTGGCTTCTTTCTCTTCTGCTTCATCAGAGGCTGGACTCTCCTCGTTTTTCGTTTCTCCGTTTTCTGCAGGCAGGTCTTCTTTAGCTTCTTGGTTAGCCACCTCGGCCTGTTTTCCCTTTGCTCCTCTCTTGCCCTTTGCTTGCACTTTCTTGTCTGATGACTTATCCTTCCCGGCGGCCTTCTTGGGCTTCGCTTCCACCTTCGCGGGGGCCGGCTTCGCCGACAAGCGCGCCGACCGCCTCTTGGGCTCCTCCTTGGCCGCCCCCTCGGCAGAGCTGACCTTCCTCTTGGGCATCCTGGCGGCGCGGAGGGCGCGTGCCGGGTGCCTGCGGGCCGCGGCGCGCCGAGAGCCTTCGCGGAGCTGGGCTGCCTGGCCGCTGCCGCCGCTCCCGCCGCCCGAGCTGCTGGGACCCGCGGCGGGGGCCTTTTTTCACTATAAATTATCTAAACATGATTTTCCCTTACTTACCAGCCTGACATGTAATGAGACTTTTCAGTTCTGGTAACATTATCATCTTTTTTTCCTAAAATATTACTTTCCTGTAATTTTATTCTTCCCTTAATCTGAGACTCTTGCTATCTGATGTTACCATCTTAACGTCTCTCTTCACATCTCTTAGCTTTTATTTTATGGTACATTTTATATTATCATTTGGAAGAATTTGTTTAAGATTAATTTCTTTATTTGAAAGACAGAGTTAGAAAGAAAGATCTTCTATCCACTGTTCATCCCCAAAATGGCCGTAATGGTTGGAGCTGGGCCAGGCCGAAGCCGGGGACCCAAAACTTCATCTGGGTCTCCCACGTGGGTGGATGCTAGGGCCCACATACTTAGGCCATTATCCACTGCTTTCCCAGGTGCATCAGTAGGGAGCTGGATTGGAAATGGAGCAGTCAGGAATTAAACCAGAGCCCATATGGGATGCCGGTGCTGCAGACAGTGGTTTTTACCCACTACACCACAATGCCAGCTCTGGAAGAAGTTCTTAATTTGAGTTTCAAATTCCCTAATCTGTTCTTTGGGTAAATCATGTTGTCCATCTCATCTACAGTTTTAGCAATTATATTTTCATAACAAATATGTCTTTTATTCTATTTAGGTCTCCTTTTTCTTTATTCATATTATCAAATGACTTCACTTATTTTCTCAGTCTTTCTTTTGTCATCTCTTCTCCCTCTTTCCTCAGGAATAGTAACTTTATTGTTATTAAAAATAATCACTGATGGGCCAGCATTGTGGCATAGCAGGTAAAGCTGCCTGCAATGCCAGATCCCATATAGGTACAGGTTCGTGTCCTGGCTGCTCCACTTCCCATTCAACTCCCTGCTAATAGCTTGGGAAAAGCAACAGAAGATGGCCAGGTCCTTGGGCCCCTGGCACCCACGTGGGAGACGTGGATGAAGCTGTGGCTTCGGCCTGGCCCAGCCCTGGCCGTTGTGGCCATCTGGGGAGTGAACCAGCGGGTGGAAACTCTTTCTCTGCCTCTGTAACTTTCACTTTCAAAATAAATAAATACAATATATTTTTTAAAAAATATTTAACAAATTGCTTTTTAAAAAAAGTCACTGAGGGGCCAGAGTTGTGGCATAAGAGGTGGCCGGAAAAACCCTCTACAAAAGAACTAGCAGGGAGCACTGGATTTATACTAGTGGAGAACAAGATAAGACACTTTCAGTGACTAGAAGAACAGATGATAGGTTATCTAAACATGTTACAACCAACAAAAATTCAGATGATGGGGAGAGCAAAGGTAGGATAAAGTGTAAGCGTGTTGTGCTATACATGTGTTTCTTCATCTTTAATTGCCTGGGCTTCAAAGCTACCAGATCAAAGGAAGTATATTTAACAATTCAAAGTGTGAGCCTGGGAGGGGGGGTGCATTTGGTACAGGATCAAGACAATCCTTGAGACACATGCATCCCATATCAGAGTGCCCAGGTTCAAGCCCTGGTTCTGCTTCCTACTGATGCGCACCCTGGGAGGCAGCACGTGATGCTCGAGGGGCTGGGTCCCTGCCGCACAGGTGGGAAACCTGGACTGAGTTTAAGGTTGCCAGGCGTCTGGAGAGTGAGCCAGTGGATGGGGTAACTGTGTCTTTCTCTGTCTCTCTGCCTCTCCAATAAAGTAAATAACTAAAAATTAAAAGAAAACACATTTAATCCTAAGAAAATATGACTATCAGTTAAAATTGGATGGTAGAACAAGGAAAGTAGAGGAAAGGGGCAGTAAATATAAATACTCTAACTTCACCGTTGCTCATAGTGGTAAATTAACAGAGTCCATCAAAAGAAATGGAGCATTAACATAGTTACTTAAAATTAAAAAGCTAAAAACTAGAATGGTCTCAGATTGAAGTGCCTGAATTCTATATTCACCTCCAAGTCCTGATTTGTCACCCACTGTCCTAACTCCTGCCCAGCTAAGACATTGTGGGCATTTGGGGGAGTGGACCAGCAGATGTCTCTCTCCTCTTTCTCACATAAGTAAATAATAAATATTTTTTAAAACTAGAATAAAAATGGAAATATTTTAAGTTATTAGGAGGCACACACTCAGAACAAAGGACACAACTGAGGAAATCTGAATCAGTTTGGTGGTTGCATTAATGACAACATCCTGGCTGTGACAGTGCAAAACATTATCATTCAAAGAACCTGGGAAAACAGTACCTGGGAGCTCTGCATTATTTCTTACAAGTGCACACCAATTTACAATGACCGCAGTAGAGATTTCAATGAGAAACAAAGGAAAGAAAACACACAGCAAAAGATTTTTAAAGCCAAAAAAAGACAGTATAGAACAATAAATTACAGTAACACTTCCAAACATCACTTTGAGTTCTTATTTTCATGCTCTTCTTGATTCTATTTCTATCACTAGCATTCTTCCAAGAAAGGCTTACATAACAACAGCAAGAACAGCAATAATGAAAACAGTGCAAAACATTTTAACACCGATTCAGGTCTTGTCCTGTGCACAGACTTTAAATTATCTCATTTAGCCCTCAAAACAATCCTATGTCTTGAAACTATTATTATCCCTATTTTACAGTTCTTTATTCCTTAAACACAGTAATTTTGCTTTTTTCTGGCTTCTGCATCTAAAATTGCATATTCCCCTCCCACCACAGCATCAAATTGTAAACTCAAGAATCTACAAGTCTTTATTTAAACATAGCAAACAAAAGACCCCATCTTCTTTAGAGGGCAGTGGGGGAGTTAAAATAATAGTAACATTTTATTTTATCACAATTGGGAGTCCTCAGAATGATCCTGGATTGAGCCGCTCCATTTCCTGAAGAGTGAAGGGAGAGGTTAAGGAGGATGCTTAGGGCTGGCAGAAAGATGTTTTCTTCAATGGATAGGATTTAAGTTGGCCAAAAAGAATCATACCAAGACTGAAGTACTCAGGGCTGTGTGAGAAGTGAACAAGAAAGATTACATGATCTGAAATTCTAATCCTGAAAGAAAATGCTGAAAATACATTGTTTTAAAAATTATTGGTAGTTGAAATCATCCACAAATCCTGGAGATTACATACTTCCCCAAATGTGATAATGAAGGGAAAAGGACAAAATCCATGTGTGGATTATCATATTCATAATCATGTGCATATTTCTGTACTGTTTCTAGAGTGTTCAAAGATCGAATAATTACCTTCCCCTTTTCTATCCTTTAAAATACTGGTTAAGGTAAATTTCTTCCTCTTACCCGTTCCCACCTCTCACTACTCTAAGTGGGTATGTAGGTGGCAGTTAAATTTATCATGCATTCCATAGGTTGGAGAATACTGGAACTGTGGTAGACTAGATGAGGAATGGGTATCACTGGAAACTGCAGTCTTCAAGATTAACTGAAGGCTCTGAAAGTGCAACCAGTACAGCATGGTAGTTAGGAACAAGGGATTCAGGAGACATGGCTGGGGTCCCAATCCTGGCTCTGCTACATTACCTGTGTGCCCAAATAAGGATTAAATGAGGTAATACATATAAAGTACTTTTATAAATTCCTGGCACACAATATGTACTCAAGAAAAAAATTTAATGGCACCATGTTTTCATCTTAATGTGCTGAACATAACTTTCCACTGGCTCCTGGGGAGCTGTTCGTGTTATCTAATGAATAGAGCAAGTGTTTGGATTAAATGTGCTATTGTCCTGGTGCCAATATCCAAGGGTGTCCTTGAAACAGTCTTCTTGAGGATGAAGCACTTGCCTTTCATTTTGGATGCAACAGCCAACACACCTGCTATGGTTTGGATGTGACTTGAGTGTCTCCCCAAGGGTTTCTGCATTACAACCTTGGTCCCCAGTGTGGCAGTGTGAGAGGTAGCGGGATCTCCTGGATGTGGAACCTGTTGGGAAGGTGATGAGGTCACAAAGGATGCTGTCTTCAGAAGGGATTACTGTAGCTCCATGGCACCCCAGTTAGTTCTTGTGAGAGGATGTCATAAGAAAGCAAGCCTAGTCCCAGAAACACTCTGACTTCCTGTCTTACTGTGTGATCTCTCCCTTTTGCATGTGCTTCTGCCATGATGCCATCTGCTATGGGGCCCTCACCAGAGGCTGAACAGATGGGGCTGCTACAGCTTGGACTTTCAGCCTCCAAAATTCTGAGCCAAAAAAACCTCTTTTCTTTTTAAGGATTTATTTATTTATTTGAAAGGCAGAGTTACAGAGAGGCAGAGGCAGAGAGAGAGGTCTTCCATCCGCTGGTTTACTCCCCAATTGGCCGCAACAGCCAGAGCTGTGCTGATTCAAAGCCAAGAGTATCTTCCGGGTCTCCCACGTGAGTGCAGGGACCCAAGGACTTGGGCCATCTTCTACTGCTTTCCCAGGCCATAGCAAAGAGCTGGATTGGAAGTGAAGCAGCTGGGACACAAACCAGTGCCTATATGGGATGCTAGCACTGCAGGCAGCAGCTTTACCCGCTATGCCACAGCACCGGCCCCAAAACCAGGTATTTTTGTTATAGCTACAGGAAAAAGACAAATACAATACTGCAGATCTCTGCCTCGTCCTCTATCCAAGAACTTCTCTCGAGTGGAACTCCCGAATTTTCACAGGACTCATGCCTTTGCTTTGCTCTCCTTTTGGATTTTAACAAAACATGGTGTACTTCTGGCTTCTCTTTCTTGCAAAGTGTCCCAGCCTTTGGGATCGAGATGGCATCAGGGATGCTGCAGGGCTCACAAGTCCCCTTTGGTTATGGGACTTCCCCTGGCTCTGCTCCTGACTCGTAAGTCTCTGCTTTGGTATTTCTGCTTGTGAAATTCAGCAAGGTTAGTGTATAAAGGGGAACAAGAAAAAGGAAAGGGAAAGGCCCCTGGTATGCAGGGAGAGCCATAACCAAGTGGGGTTGATCCAGTGGCAGCAGGAATGACAAAATGCTTTGGATGACCGCCACAGCACACACGGGGTCCCACACTGTCCTTAGAAACTGGCGTCTTCAGCAGATTGCGTCTGTTTTCACTCCACTGTAAAAAGTGGCAGTGGGGGTGGGGGTAGTAAGGAAAAAACCAAACAGACTAAAAAGGAAACCATTTTATTACTTCTCATATGCAGCTTCTGGAACCCACTCAAGAGACAAGAAATCCGATTTCAAGGAAGAGAAATGCATTTCATTACTCGGCAGTAAGTTGGATTGGCTATTTATTAGCATCTATTTCAACATCCCAGCCATCTCTTGTAATGACAGGAGAGGCTGATCCACATTTGTGGCAAAACATTTAAGAACTTCCAGAAATGTATGCTTCCTGTTCAGGGCACCGACAATCCGGAGATGTAATGACGGTCGTGAAATCTGGGTTTCGGAATTCCTTTGAAACCGGTCCAGGCTTGTCAGTGGCTTTGAAGAGCATATGGCGAAAGGCAGCAATAATAAAAAACCCAAGGAGGCACAGCTCAATCACTCCTTTGCTTTTTCTCCCCCTTGCCGCCTTTGCTATCTGTCCATTATATGCCCTCTGGGCCATTGGCAGGAAGTCTATAAATACCAATGTGAGGAGTTTCTGCTGCATTATTATAGCAGGCAAACATTGTTGTGTGCTTTTTTCCCTCCTTTAAAAAAATTTGGCCAGATACCTGAGTCTTGGGAATGGGCCGCCAAATCTCAGCAGGATTCCAGATGGCTGAGATTCCGGCTCCTGATGCCCTCATGTCTCCCCTCCCTCCTCTCCAAGATATTTTCATTTGTGTTCTCCTCCTCGGAGATAAATATTTTCTGTTAAGCATCCTTGCTAGCGGTCATTACTGATTGCTTCTGGGTTAACCTTGAGGTGAAGATGCTCACTCACATGTACCGGTGAGCTTCGGCCTTCACATCCACCCTTTGTGCACTCCCCTTGCCCCTGTCAGCATCCTACTCTCCTCCCTCTCCTGCTGAGATGTCCTGTGCAGACCTGACCTACTAATGCTCCCACTTTCTTCCCCCATTTCACTGGATGCTGCTCCCTAATAGGCACTCGAGCGCTCCCAGGGTTCTGTGTGATCTCCGCGAGCTGGATGCCTGCCCCGCTCGGGGCTCCTGTAGCACCCGCCCCACGTTGTCCTCTGCCCGAGGGACACAATGTCATGAATACACACAGAGGCTGTAGTGAGGACTCGGTGCGACTCCCAGCTCTGCCTCCTGCTACCTGTGTGACCCTGGACAAGCTACTTAACCTGACGAAGCCTCAGTTCCCTTATCTGAAAACTGGGAATGTCCTACAGTAGCCATAGTAGGACTGATCTGAGGACGAAAGGAGGTAGTGTGTGTGATGTGGTCAGCATAAGGTCTGTCTGTGGTAAGTGTTCCATGAATGTCTGCTGCCATCACTGTTACTACGCCAGCACTTTATCTCGAATGTTTGGTGAGCGTCTCCCATTTGGATGGCAGGCTGTCATGGCAGAGACTGTGTCTTTGTTGCCCCTGATTCCCAGTTTGTAACACAACAGGTAGCAACAGAGTCTTTCTCAGAGACTATCTGTGCATCTAAATAGGGCTGTTCAGAGGACTGTGCCCTGAATAAAAGGGGGTCACTCTAATAGTAGAAAGCTCGGTTAAGCGTAAAGTACATTTCTACTCCCATGCTCCTATGTCCCCCTTTGCCTCCACCCTATCACCAGTCCTCTCTGAGGAAGCAGGGGCGGCTCAAAGCCAAGGACGCTCCTGAGCCATGTTTCACTGGTAGGCACAGGCATCATATTTCCTAACAGGTGAGAGTTTGGTCTCCCCTGTTTTTTACCCCTTGCCTGCAGGCAGTGAGCAGAGCAGGCTTGGCCATCCTTCTGATCAGCCTCCCCTGTTCTAGCTTCTCTGCCTGGACCTGTGCGAGGAAAAAAATCAGGTAAGCTTTGCAGACTCTATTAGTCTCAACTCAGAATAGAGGACATAGGAAGCACCTCCTGTGCTTTCAGAACTAAGCCTCATGCTCCAACTCAGAGAAGCCTGGCTTCTGACAGCTGAGCTCTCCTTATGCACTGCTAGCAAAGTGATGCTGTGCTGTGTTTCCCCTATCCAGATAGCTGAAAGAACCCTGAGGTAGAGAAAGAACAAATACTGTGATCCAGACACTAATATCCCACCCTGCATCGAAATACAGGATGTGTGGGACAGATCTCCCCATCCTCACAAGCACTTCCAGAGTGCCTGACTCCTGCCAGGAACCACAGGTTGACAACACTTATGCAGAAAATCTTGAGACACTTTGAGAAGACGCTTGAGATGGGCCCAAGCAGAGGAGTTTTTCCTGTTACTCTCTCCCTCTATTCTAATTGAATCATTTATGATGAGCACAAATGGCTTATACAGTGGGGAGGAGTTGATTGGGAGAAAACAGAAGCATTGAACCTGGCTTGGCAGGAGTGCAGAGGAGCCAGGGCAGAGCAACCACCTCTTCCTTCTTTCTCCTTGAGTCTTTTTTTTTAAAGATTTATTTATTTATTTATTTATTTTAAAGTCAGAGTTACATAGAGAAAGAGAAAGAGAGGTCTTCCATCCACTGGTTCACTTCCCAAATGGCTGCAACAGCCGGAGCTGCACCAATCCAAAGCCAGGAGCTTCCTCCGGGTCTCCCACTCAGGTGCAGGGGCCCAAGGACTTGGGCCATCTTCTACTGCTTTCCCAGGCCATAGCAGAGAGCTGGATCAGAAGTGGAGCAGCTGGGACTCGAACCAGCACCCATATGGGATGCCAGCACTACAGGCAGCAGCTCTACCAGCTATGCCACAGCGCCAGCCCCTCTTTGAGTCGTGAGCAAGTCTCCTTTGTTCCACATTCTGTTTCCCTCCACCGAGCCACGCTATCTTCTCCCCAGCATCACTCCCACCTGTGTTATAAGTAGATTACCTTTGGCTGGAATTCAGGTGACCTGGATTCTTTCTCAGCTCTTCCCCTAACTCAGCAGCCTTGGAAACTTGGGTCCTTAATTTCTCCAAGAGTCAATTTCCCATCTGGAGAATGGATATAAATATGTGGCTCTTAAGAGACTATCAGATTCTTGCCAGGTAATGTATGTAAATACTAGAAATCAAGGTACACAGTGCTATAAACAATGTCCCCACAAGTGTGACAAGTCTTGAAACACTCAGGAACACATACCTCACCCTTAAAGAGTCCAGAGGAGAACAGAGTTAAAAAGTCAACGAGAACAAGCACATTCAAGTCTCATGCAATAAGACTCAAACCCCAGACCAAGGACTAGAAAAGTATATTTAGCAACCAAATGCTTTATACTAAGACTCTAAGTAAGTCATTAGTTTTGTTTTATATCTTTTTGACAGGCAGAGTGGACAGTGAGAGAGAGACAGACAGAGAGAAAGATCTTCCTTTTCTATTGGTTCACCCCCTCAATGGCCACCGCGGCCGGTGTACCGCGCTGATCCGAAGCCAGGAGCCAAGTGCTTCTCCTGGTCTCCCATGCGGGTGCAGGGCCCAAGCACTTGGGCCGTCCTCCACTGCCTTCCCGGGCCACAGGAGAGAGCTGGCCTGGAAGAGGAGCAACTGGGACAGAATCCGGCACCCCGACTGGGACTAGAACCTGGAGTGCCGGCACCGCAGGCGGAGGATTAGCCAAGTGAGCCGCGGCACAGGCTCTAAGTAAGTCTTAAAACTTCTAAGTCTATGATTTGGAATGAGAAGAAGACACGAAGTTTATTTATTCCTGCCCCTTTGAAACAAGGAAATCTATGGAATTGCCCTCTGGCATCTATAGGACAAAGAGACAGAAGTTAAGGCTCAGAAGTTCCACAAAGGCTCCTGGTTCTCAGTCCAGAGCTTTTCATGCTCCACACACATCTGTGTAAAATGATCCTTCAATTCTCAGCTTCTGTGCTTTGACAGTTGCAGTAAGTAAATTTCTCAGATCCAAAGATGCTGGTGGTTGAAGACTCAGAGGAGAACCCTGAACTCCTGAAACCTGGTCCAGAGGTGGTGCTCCTAGTTTTCAAAGGGACTCAAATAGGAACATCCAAAACCCAGTCCCCACATCCCAAGCCAAACCCCTGCCTGCAAGGTATTAAGGCTTGAAAAGGACTCTTTTGCCAAAACAATGAACTCTGAGTCAGAGACTAGGCTCAGGAAAGTGCCAAGGCCATAGGATCCACTTGGAGGCATTAACAGCAAGTCTAGGGCTATGTGAATAGAGTGTGGTGGCCTTCTGTATATCTATGCCTAGACTCTGAAATTCCACCATCTGGATGAACTAGAAGACAACAGGTAGAAGAGAGCTGCAAAGAGCATGGTACAGGCTTAGAAGTCATGGGTGATTTTCTAGTCTTTGGGATATGGCAGATCCAACTCAACAGCTTCTGCTGAGGACAGATAATATATAAAAAGCACAGGAAAAAAGAAATCTTTAGAACAGCTCATACAGAGTGGTTGGAGAAGTGAGGCTCGGACGATGAAAAGATCAACTAACAATTCAAGACATTGTCAGGCCATAGGTCAAAGTGGTAAATAAAGCCAGACCACGTGTTCCTTGCAAGTTAGGAGAGGAAGAGGAAGCACAAAGGTGGGAGCAGTCCAGGAAAGCTACAGAGCACGGACAAGAGGCAGGAGGTTATGTCTCCAAAGTAGACAATCAACAAAACAACACAGCTTCTTGGGCCATCTCACTTTTTGGGACAGATGCTCCCAGACAGATCACCACTACCCCTCAAACAGAACTAAGTTGTAGGACCTGGCAGGTGGGGGTGGTCATGCCCATTTTACGGTAAGGCATGTAGGGAAGTGGATCACAACCACTAAAAAGGCAGATCCAAAGCTGAAATTCATGTAATGAGACTCCCATTTCACAACTCTTTTCCTCTCTCTGCCTAAGGAGTGACTCTCTACCAAGGAACATCAGAGCCAGGACACCCACCATAGAGCTGGGATGCCTCGGGCCAGGGTGTGGCTTGAAGAGTAGTTGGCTCTGGCACAGTGACAACATTGAGTCTGTCTGCACGGGCCAATCAAGTAGGTAAAATTAAATCCAAAACCACATACATATGAAACAGAACGCATAGACACTAATTCACTGACCGCTCTGGGAAACACTATGATAATGTTCATTCAAAGCAGCGTGAATCATATGAATCATATCCAGCTCATTCAGTAGAGCCAGTTGGCGGGATAGCCCAGCAACCAATCTCAGTCTTTCTGCTTTGCTTTCATCCCAGTAGAGGTGGGAAGCCTACTGCTTGCCTGACAAAGAGATTATCTATGAAAGATGGCTATCCTGGTACCAAGCTGTTCACCCTCTTCCTCTCTTGACTGAGGATGGAATGTCTGGAAATACGGAAGCCATTTTTCTATACAAGCATGGGAGGGGCAGAGGCAACAGAATAATCTGGGGATTCTCGGGGGCACCAGTAAACAGCATTTTATTCCTTGTACAGATTCTGAACCAACTGAGAAACAACACCACAGTCAACAGAATCGAAATA